TCCACAGGCAGGGCCGATGCTAGGAATTGCAGGGCCTATTTAGAAAGCTATTGGTGGGGCCCCTGTTCTACATAGTAAAATTTATGTTTATATTTCTTAAAAAACGCATACAAACCAATAAAAACGAATAAACATGAAATGCTTGTTATAATAAATACATAGTAAATTAATATTATAAGGAAGAATATCTTATTCTTAATTTCACGTTTTCAGTAGTATTTTGTACCTTATATGATAAAAAAGAACCCTGCTGGTGCGGGGCCCTATTTGATCAAATCGGTAAAATCGGTTTAAAACCGGCCCTGTCCACAGGAAATAAAGGCACATCAAACACGGGACGAAAATCACAGTCTCAGGCGGTGAAACGAGAGGTGTCCCGAACAAGGTCTATATAAGCAAGGTCTATATAAGTACTTATATAGACCTTGCATATAAGTATTTATATAGACCTTGTTCCCGAACACTTCTTCCAGAGGCGAGAGTCCCGGGAGATCTTACTCTGCGGGACAAGACATCCTCCTTCACACTAAAACTTCCGCGAAATACAGATACATTAATAGAGGGTGGTGTAACAATATCAAAGAAAACAGGAGACAACATACGTAAGGTGAAACTTTGTCTTAAATATATCAGGATTTAGAAATACTGTTTAGAATTATTTCAAGGTTATGCACTAGATTGTCTTTATTTTAAAAGACAATGATACTTAAAATATATATCTACTATAAACTACATCGTTATCCTTCCGACATCGAATCTTCTTAATTTAAGAACTCAAGACTTAGTGGAAAAACCTGTTCAACTATGAATTACTTTCTGATACTTTCGTTTGCTCTCTTCTTTTCCCTTATCATACTATCCTAAAACACTTTTAATCTTTGACATCTAACTCATTTTATTGTAATAAGGGCTGTCCGCTTTTCCGTGGCAGCATTTCTACCGTTCTCTAAATATCAGAGGATAAAGAAAACGGATATAAATAATAAAGTTGGACCATACACTATCATAAACGGATAAATATTAGATTACAATTATAGTGCGCAGAAGTTTGGGGATTATAAGATTCCCTCCATTGCTTTCTTGTTTACTCCATGCTTAAAACAATTTGCAATAAATACATTACCAAGCCATATAATATAATATAATATTATATAATATTTATCAGTTTATGATAGTGTATGGTCCATTATTCATATCCGTTTTCTTTATCCTCTGATGCATAGAGAACGGCAGAAATGCTGATACGGAAAAGCGGGCAGCCCTGGGACCAGTATAAAAACTGTCATGTATATTTTGCCGAATACAATCTATTGTGAGTGCCTCCATGAAATCAGTCACCTAGTGATAGATCATGTATAACTTTCTTTTTTATTTCTACATATTTTGAAAACAATATGTGATGAAATCATCATCAGCTGACCGGACATTCGAAGTCGAACAGTTTTTCTTGGTGTGTAAACGTTTTACATCGCTAGCAATTACGTCATCTTACTTAACAGCCGCCTCCTATTCATTATTTTTTACTTTGCTTTTTTTCCAGAACAAGTAACGCAAATATCAAGAGAAAATTTATTTTTTCCCCTATGAATGTTAGCTAGTCGTCTGCAGACGAACGTCAACAAAGGAGCGCCATGACGAGGTCTCTTTGGTAAGATATTATTTGGGCATTGCTTGCTCGTCTTCATAGTTAGGAAGAAAGATCATATCCTAGAGAGGACAAACTGCGCTTGGTACTGAACTCTTTCGGTGGTAAAGTATTATATCGTCTGTCACTGAAAATAGCAGTCCATTTATGAATGCAAAGTTTCCTTGTAGGAGGCCTGCCGCCGCGAGTTTCCATTTATAGCAAAAACTTTATGCATGTTCTGTAGGCGTCAGTAAAGTTCATATCGTATTTAATTTTAATCAAGATTCACAGTACTTGCACCGAAGATGTAAGAGACACCTGTCAGACGTACAAATGATTGGTATTATCGTACGTTTGCAGTGTTACAGGAAAGAGATAGTATATGTGTATTGGTAATTGGCAGTCACCCACTTAATTTAGTAATGTTTGGAAAATTTGTAGGGGATGGCAATCAGGGTAATGTAAAAAAAAGTTGTATGAAATGATTACCTTGACTTGTACTGAGACACTCCATTTATGGCAAAAGGTGCACAAATCGAAAATAAAGGAGATATATGACAAAGATCAGGAGATCAACCCATCTTTTTGTAAGTCTCTTGCCATGTTTACATTGCAAAGGAAAACATTACTAGGCATAGGTTACTGAGAGTGATATGCAGAGATCGAGGGAAATGGACAATGTCATCGGTAGAGGTTGAAGACCGCGATGCGCATAGATAGAGGAAAATGGACACCGCCATCTTATAGAGTAAAAGAAATAGAATAAGAATGAACATGGTGTAAGCTGCAGCTGCCTCATCTTTACTGGTAAATGAAGAAAATGTCTGCTCCATATCACTGCTCTTAGACTAAGTCCACAACACCCTCACACAG